CTCCTGGAACACACGTATGGGAAAGGCCAATATATGCACTCATTTTGGTAAGAAGAATTGAAACCCACGATTTCAGACACTGCATGGGCTCATATTTGGTCTTCACCCCCATATATATCCCGTTCAGCATTTGTGAGGGAGAATACTTTGAAAACCATCCATAGGTGGTATCTCACACCTGTAACGCTGTCTGAAATGGTTAAAACGCTCTCTCTAGATTGCTGAAGGGGTTGTAAATCTAGAAGCTCTTATATGAATATGTGGATTAAATGTCCTAAAGTGATAAAATTCTGGGATGCAGTTCTCTATCAAATTTCATTTATCACTGATCAAATTGTAAATTTCTGTCCAATTTTGCTTTTGCTTTCTATTTTTTTTTAAAAATAATTCTAATTTGAAACATAGGAAACTGATAATTTTTGTTATTACTGCTGCCAGATTAGAAGTAACCAAATGTTGGAAGTCAGGAAGTCTCCTGAGAACTGGTGGTTTAGATTTGGGATATGTGGTTGATGGAGAAACTGTCTGCTGGGCTGAGGTTTTGCATTGGCCCCAAAAGAACTGACACATTTCAAAAAGACTGGATGATCTTTATTGACTATGGGCCTAAGCAGACTGGCGGCACGGGGCCGCCCTGGGAAGGTGCACCGCGAGACCGAGGCATCCCCACGCCTCGATTCTGCGGTGTACCTTCGCCGCCCGAAAGGAGTGTTAAAATAGTGCTCCTTTCACAAGTCAGCGAAAGTGTGCCGCAAAAGCTTGCGGCGCACTTTCGCTGACTTTTCCACCGCAGCGTGTCCGGATGCTGCGGCGGGAGGTTGCCCTCGGAGCGCCGGCCGTACAGAGAGCCAGCGGCTCCGAGGGCAACCTCGGGAGGAGGAAGGGGCGCTGAGCGTGCAGCTGCCCCCCCTCTCCTTGCCTCAAGGACGGCTTTTTAAGCTGTCTGCCGAGGCCCTATGTTAATCATCCCTCCCACTGGATATAACCTCCTACTTCACAGATGGATCTTTGGACAGACACTCTACATCTTGACAAGCTAGACTTTCTGACTCTCGCTGGGAACTAATTTTTTGATTCTGCTGCAGAATAACTACTCATCAGATACATACCTTGGTAGTAGTAGTAGTAGTAGTAGTTGTTGTTGTTGTTCTACAGACTTTATGTGTTTTATTGTAAAAACTCAATAAAAATAATTAGAAAAAAAAGAAATTGTTTTTAGGGCAATTGGTTGCTCAAATGCAATATGGTATAGAGATCTGGGGAATAAATCAGAATAACTTGAACGACCTGCAGATCTGTCAGAAAGATATTACTATACATTGTGCAGGGGATTTTTGAGGTACTTGTTGGAAGTACCTACAGGGACTCTAGCTGCATTCCTCAGGTGTGGTATTTGTAAAACTTGAGTTAGCCCTTTCATATTATAATAGGTCATGGATATGACAGAGGACTGGCTCTTTAAGCTTTGTTTAGTGGAACAATGGAAGAAAGGTGGCTCAGCTAAGCTAGGTCAAGACTTATTAACCTCGAAAACCCTTTCAACAGATTTTTTTTTTGGTTACTTTTCCTAGAGTTAAAAAAAAAAGCTGGGAGACTGGATCTATAAGTTGGATAATGACCAAAACTTAGTTTCAATTAAATCTTTAGTTTTCCCTCATTGGTATCATCTGTTGAAATTAAATCATATTAAAAGATGAATATTTACAGGCACCTACCTTTGCCCTCTGCGAACTGCTACTTTTCCAAACTATGCTAATGTCTATCTTGGATGGCAAGTATTGAAACATTCCAAGAAATTTAAGGTTGTGTATTTGTGGCATAGGAGAGGTAGAGACTGTTTCACACTATTTACTCTATTGTCAGCTTTATCCTTCACAAAGAGATTCTTGGGAAGGATTTTGGTTTCCTTACGGGGTGAGATCTTTTATGTGAAACTATGCTGGTTTCTATCAGACTGAGATCTATATGTTACAGATAAAACAGTCTTATTTGCTAAAACTATTAAAAGTATTCATGCTAGTTATTTAAAAGATATTACTATACACTGTGTAGGGGATTTATTAATCTGATTTTTTGGATGCATGTATGAGGGGGTATCATAAAATTTTAATTATCACCTTTAAAAAAATTTGACAGAAAGTTTGTTTTGATTTGTAGTTGTTAACTTATTGCTATGTAATCACCATTCAGATTTATACATTTTCTCCAGCATTTTGTCATCCTCTGAACACCATTATTATACAAGTCTGCAAATTGCACCTTATGAGGACTTTAAACTTTAGTCACTTCTGGCACAACCTGTCACAAAAATAAAGGACACAATGAGCTGATTTTCTCAACATCATGCACTTAGGGACTAATGATGGTACTGACAAAATTTCATCAATATACCATAATAACATTCTGGTAATAATTGTTACTTTACGATACCCCTCATAAGGCACAATCTTCAGACTACTACAATATCAGGTATTCGGAGGATCAAGAAACACTGGGAAAAATGTGTAAATCTGGATGGTACTACA